GTTTCTCTTCGTATCTGTAATGAACTTTGGTTGGCCTTGAGCAATTTCCTGTCGTCAAGTCTATTCAATCAACTTTCAGGCCTTCATTTCCCGCGACCTACTTATTTGGACACTGAGTAATATCTTTATAGTCTTTGTTCGACCTTGCTTTCGCAACTTGGTCGGAGCGTCAGAGAGACCTTGTGGAACATACCTAGTCCCATATCCTCTGTTATAGTACTCGTGATAATATTCGTCCCGTGAGAACGAGGGACTAGGTATGTTCCACACGGTTTCAATGACGCTCCGGCCAAGTTGTGAAAGTAAGCTTAGACCAACACTATAAAACTAAATGAGACTGCGATCATACAGAAGGCTAAACCATCTTGGTCTTCATATCTATGAGTAATATCTTGATAAACCGACTTAAATTCCTAAGATCTAATTCGCTTTCTCATCTCAAAATTGATCTTGACTCTACTTGTCTTTCAGCGCTTGTACTGTCACTTGGGCCAAACTTATATGCACCTCAGCCACCAGCTACCACCCACCGAATTCGTTTCTGGTAGTGGCTCAAAGTCATCGCCTCAAGAATCTCGCGAAATCTGTTTAACTCGAGCTTTGGATGCTTTTCGTCGGTGCCAACAACTCTGGGAGATTCGACACCGTCTTCTCGGTCCAGCCACGGACCAAAACGCTGATGTAAACAAGGGAGACTCGAACCAAGCTGATCAACTGGACACGGAAGAGCCAGATTCAGTTACATGCTCGCGTGAAATGGCACAACTTTTGCCGGCAAAATTGCAACATATGAAGAATGCTTCCTAATTTCAGTAATCGATGTGAGGTGCAGCAAATTAGGAACACTAAGGCCTGGCTCATGCTGTTCTCTTTGTATCTCATGAGAGTTTTGCCATAATCTCTATTCAGCCTTATTACATTGCAAATTAATGAATTAGGATGTGTTTCCAGGCGAGATTACATTCTATTATTGTTGGCCTTTCCATTTTCATGTTTATTTGTCAACTGATTTTCCCTCCTTCGTTTTTAGTGCGAGCATGGGCAGCTTTTTAGCCATAAACTGCTGGATTGCAACGGTATGTGTAGACTTTCACATGTCAGCTAGATCTATATTGCAGAATTCGTACGTTGTTCATACTCTACAGAATGTACATAAGTATTCCAAAAGCATCTTTTATTTTAATAGACATAATTTTAGTGCATGATGAAGAGAATACTTGGTTGATCTCATCGAAAGACGACGGCAGATTCCTCTTTCCTCTTATTCTCAGAGGTAGCCCCAAATCAGTGCCAATCGACTGTCTTTGCTAATTTCAGCATCTTATCAGCTCCAAATTGTCGGATTACTGGAATTACAGGGTTTAAGCTGAGTTTTTCCAATGGCGTTTTAGCAACAGGTTACCAGGCATCACAGACCCCCAAGCCAGACACACACAGGCTCTGCTTTTGGATAAAGTGTTGTATTCGATCGAGTAGGAGTTGGCCATGAAAAGCGAAATTCTCTAAAGAAATTCCTCATTTGATTGTCCCGGGCGAGCGGCGCTACCACGACCTGACACTAGACGGGCTTTATAAGTTATTTGTATCGACAGTTTTGAGGAAGGGACAAAAATAAGAAAAGTTGCCTCAATATTCTGAGAAGATGCAATATCGGTCAGGCTTTTTCCTTGGATAATTAATCCTTGATGGCCTGGGGTTGACATTTTTTCTAATTATTTTGAGTTGTTGTTCCTATTGTGTTCACACATATACACACACTCGAGTATAGGAGAGTTATCAGAGCTTTCTATATCAATTTATACCTTTAAGGTTTTTATTATAATGGGTAAAGATATCATGTAGTAAAGGACTAGTTAGTCTTCTTAACTCAGTGTTAACTTGAAGCTTTTGCAATAATGAGTTCCATCTTTAATCATGCTCCCCATATGTCGAACGAAAGCC